ATTTTGTTGGATTTCCTTTTCCTTTTAAAACATGATTTAATCTTCTTGGGATGGATTCGACTAATTTTTTTTTTTTTTTTTTTTTTTTTTTTTTTTTTTTTTTTTGATTTCTGGAGTGATTTTACCCCATTCTTCTTGAAGCACCGATTTTAATTGTTGTTTTGAAGAAATGGTGTGTTTGCGAATTCTTGATTCCAATTTTTGCCAAATATTCTCTATGGGATTTAAGTCTGGAGATTGTGGTGGTGTTTTTATTATTTCAGGACAGTTATACAGCAGCCAGAGTCTAACGTTCAAAGCAATGTGCTTGGGGTCATTGTCCTGGTAGAATTTAAAATCGTTATGAAGGTTCAATTTTCGTGCTGAAGATTTCAAATTTTGATTTAAAATGTCAATATACTTGTACCGATCCATTAACCGGCAATAAAAACAAGATTACCAACTCCAGCTGACGACATACACCCCCATACCATAACTCCTCCTCCACCCTGTTTTACTGTTGGCACCAAGTTCTGTTTACGAAATTCTTCCCTGGGTTTTCTCCACACCAAGATTCTACAGTCAGAACCAAATATATTAAATTTACTCTCATCAGCAAATATAACTTCATTCCAGTAATCAGAATTCTTATTTATGTTGGATTTTGCGAAAGCCAGTCTGAGTTTTCTATTCTTTTCACTTACGAAGAATTTTTTCCTGGCTGCTCTACCGTCATATCCAGCAGATCGAATTACTTTTCTAATAGTCTCAGGATTAACAATTACTCCATATAATGCTTGTAAATCAGCAGAAACTTTAGGAGCACTCATTCTTGGATTTTTTTTTTTTTTTTTTTTTTTTTTTTTTTTTTTTAATGTTTCGAACAATAATTCGCTTTATTCCATTGGATATCTTTGATGGTCGGCCAGGTCTTCTTTTATCCTGAATCATATGATTCTTTTTATATCGTTTAATGATATTGAAAACTGTTGAATGACTCAAGTTATCTGTTTCAGCAGTTTTTATTACAGATTTTCCACGTTCAATATGCAAATTAATAACTAATTTTCGAACTTCAGGCAAAGTTTCTTTTCGTTTAGCATTCATGGCTGCACAGAGCTACAAAAACACAAAAATTCCAAAACAAACTGAAGAGAAAGACTGCAAACGATTTTATAAATTATTGCCAATTGCCTTTGAGTAAAAATAAAAACCCCCAAAAATATTTTTATTGTAGTACATAGTAGTATCTAATGGTGTCCCATCACTTATGTGAGCCATTTTTTGCTCCGTTCTAAACAATTGTATTTTTATTAAATTAATATTTTAATATTTTGAGAAAATGTATGTTATGTAATAATTGTTACTAAATTTAAGTATGAAACACACCCACAAAAAATGTTTACATGTTTTTTTAATTTATTTTATTACTGTTTCCTTTTGTAAAGCACAAGTGTCCCATCACTTTTGTGAGACACTGTATTTATCGTTTTAGTCTAAAAAGCGGATTTTTTCCTTAGAATAATTCAGGAAATTTTTAGGAGTTTGCTCCACTTTATGATCAAGATTATATTCAGAATACAATATTTTCAATGTAGGAGGATGTGGCAAAGTAACCAATGCCGTATTTCTTAAAAATTTATAGCAATGTGGAGAAATTGAAAACATCAAACTTGATAATATTAACAGATCAGAACTATACCTATTATTATTAGTTGCATTTACTTTCATTCGTACTTGTTTTAATGGAACTTCTATTTCCTTCCCTTTTTTTCATCGTTTCAAATCTTTCTCATGAAAATGTAATTCACAGACCTAAATCCCCGCAAATGTAAACATAAACTAATTTTAAAGTAATAAAAGTAGAATTTCTAATAATGCAATTTATACTTTAACAAAACAGGTAATAGCAAGCATATGTGTGTTTGTTTCCACTAGGGAGGGGGGGGGGAGAAAAGGATTCTTAGTGACATAACTTTTAATAATATTTGAATTTTCATGCATTAGGAATTTAAATTATTTCTTATTTGACGCAAAACTGTGCACTTTATATTACAATTTAAAAAACCATAAGCATATTTATTGCTTTCACAATTTCTTAAAAAAAGCTTTTAATACCAAAATATATTAAATATTAGGTTAAATAATTTCAGTTTCTGCCATATACGTATGAAGTTAAAAGTTCCAAACTGTTCGCGGGATATGAACCTTGGACCGAACTACCTGTGATCAGGGGCTTTACCGCTCGGCCGCTGGGCGGGCCAGAATTCTTGTACTAAAGTCTTTTCTGTATGTAGTTTTCGTTACTAGATATCTAAACGTTTGAGAAGACAGCAAGTATTTGCAAGTTATTAGTCCAAAGGGCGTTAGCCTGGAAGGCCTATTAATTTCTTTTTGGCATTTTGCGTCGGTTCACTATAAATGTCGATTCACTTTTCAAATTGTTGCCACCAAATATTACAGCCCTGTATTATATTTAAAGAAATTAAATAATAAAGAATCAGCATAAATGTATATATATTTTTGCATTGTGATAAAACAACGGTACCTAGAGCGATCAAAATAACGTAATCCTTCACGGAATAAGGAATTTGGAATTTGAGTTTTGTTTTAATATTCATTGCATATTTCGTAAAGCATTTATGAGTTTTTGATTAAGAAACTCCGATTTGAAAGTGATCAATTGCAACATGGTACGGAAAAAAAAAAAAAAAAAAAAAAAATTATACCTAGCGCGAGAGACTGTGTATCGGAAATTCTAAAGATAGGCTCATTTTAAAATTATTTTGCGATATTGCTGTTGAACAGAATTTTATGGTTTGAGTGCGTGGAACATCATCTTTAATAAATAATGGCAACACACAGAACGTTAAAAAACGCAATCGGAAAACATTAAAATTCTGATAAAATTAAAATGTTTTTTCATGAATATTAAAGATTGCTTTTGTGTTCTACTTATTTTAAATTCGAATTTTTTTAGTCAGAAAGGCAAGGAACTCAAAAGTATACTTCATTGACAATGTAAATATTTTATCAAAAAGCAAGGAAATATTATAGAAAACAGATATAGTTAAACGCTTATCCAGTTTACAGCGCATATTTTTAATCAGGTACATTTAAAGAAAATATAACCTCTTTTTTGCAGTTTTTTATAGCAAAGAGCTTTTCTTAGCTTCCTTCAGCGCTGGAACAAAGAAGAATGATTAAGTGTTATTTGTTCAGCCTCGCAACATGAGTTTTCCAGGAACACTACATGGGACATTATCAACAAAAATTTAAAAAAATAATCATGTCTCATATTTCCGCTAATTTACCGGTAATTAGAATCTTCATATCTCAACTGTTCATAACCGGAATGCTTTTTTTTTTAGCAATAAATTCCAGCAATGCATTCTTTAATTTGATTACGATGGCGCAATGTAAAAATCCAACTGGGAAATTCCTTTTTTGGGGGTGGGAGGGGGAGGTAATCATGAATCATGAATATTTTGCAGGTTGATGACCTGCAGCAGAAATGCATACCCAAGAAGAGAGAACTCCCCATATTCTAAACCAGGATTTTTTTCAATTGTGGGTCGCCAAAAATTTTAGCACTTTTATTGTATTTAGCACTTTTATATTTCTTTAAATTATTATTATCATTTTACAGTTACCAAATATTTTTACACAATGTGTCTGAACATAGATAATGATAAGGTAATACAGACAAAGAAAAAAACGAAAACGTTTCGAAGCATTCTTTTAATAATATAAACGTTCATTTTTCTTGCTTTGCACGTGACGCTGCAATTTGGTCTGTTAATTAATTAAAATGTTCACATTGTTCTATGTCTTAAAATTGGAAATTAAAGTTAATGACCTAAAACTGCAATAGTATATTACAGTACAAGTGAAAAAATTGACAGTTTTACTCACACGTGTGTCGGATTTGCGCAATACTTATGAGGTCCCACAAAATTTTTGTAAATATTATGGGGTCCTGGGAATTGCGAAGAAATCTTCGTGATAAAAAGTGGTCGCGACTAAAAAAAGTTTAAGAAACCCTGTTCTAAGCTGATTTCAAACAATGAGATTATTATGAATCAAAATTGTTTGAAACTTTAAACTTCCCGGCATGGTTCCGCTACGTAGACGATATTTTTACTCTGTTTGAAGGTAATAAAAATGATTTAAATAAAGTTCTTTCAGCAATTAATTCTATTGATCCTGCTATTCAGTTCACTTTTGAACATGAGACTTGCAATTCTCTTCCGTTTCTCGACATTCTGGTCACACGTAACACATCCAACTTCAGTACTACGGTTTACCGTAAACCTTCATCGGTTTGCCTTCCACCACACTTTAAGGTGGTCTACTACAGCAGCATTACAATACTAAAAATTTTTTTACACGCAGAATCGCTAATTAAGAAACTATGTTGCGTGCAATTTGGCAGAAATATAAAGCAATAGGTCAGTTTTCGAATCACAATGTTAGAATCAGGTTTGAAATGAAATTTACTTAAATATTATATTTTAAAAAAATTAGTTTGAAATACGTAATTTTAATGTGTAGTTTGGAAAGCCATCAATAGATGGCGCTACGAGTTTTAAAATTTAACATTGTAATCTTATTTCTGCAAAAATTCACGAAGTAATTGATTTTGATATCAGTTATAAATCATATTTTTTTCTAAATAATATTTAGAAGCGTTTCATATATTCCTTTATACACAGTTTTCACTAAACATTGTCAGCTGTCAGCAGAATGACGTTTACGGCAACCCTATTGCATTGCTATTCCGCACTCGTTTTGTTTACATTTATTTGTACTGTGGTCAGTTTGCAAAATATATGCGAAAATATCAAGGACGACCGAAAAAACTCCTGGTTTTAATAAAAGATCCAGAAGAATTCAGCGTAAACGTCGAGCTCAAGAAAAAAATATGAAATTAAATTCCCGAGATGTGGAAGAAGATTCCGAACAAGCGGATGTTTTCGAAAGGTGAGAAATAATTTATTCTTTATATCGACTACCCCGTGTTTTATGATTTCGTAGTAAGTTAATTCCGAAGTAAAATATGCGTATTTTTTTTTATTGAAGGTCAGAAATTATTGATACAACTGCATCTGTGTCAAAGGAGAATCATTGCCCGGATGATTTTTTTACAAAGTAAGTTTTTTTTTTTTTTTTTTTTTTTTTTTTGTATATGTGTGTGTATGAGGGGGATGCTAATAATTGTTCAATTCTGTTATAAGAATTTATTCCTCCATTCACACTAAATTGTTGGGAAATATTGAAAGGGTAAATTCCAATTCACAAGGAATTGCTGAAATAATTGAATCTTTTCAAAAGTATGAGCATGTTCTTGCGATCTAAATTGAATTCACCATCATTACATGTATTATTGGAAATTTTATAGTCATACGTTTGCTACGAAATGCTTTGTCAGTTACCTATGGTATATTTTAACAGGTGTATGCACATTTATTCATGTGCTCGCTGTTCAACTTGCTTTTTTTTATTATGTCATTTACTTGGATGTTAAAACTTTCTTTTAGCGTTGGAACATTTTATGATCATTTAGTAAAATTTATATATAAATATATATTATTGCTTGTTTATTTATGGTTCTGTGTATTTGTCATGTATGCATGTTGTGAAGTGTAGTTTTTGAAAAATATGTCACAAATGTTAAATTCCACCAAAAGCTGAATTGAATTGATATTGGGATGCAGGTAATTAGAAAATATCTGCTGTGTATTTTGAGCGTAAACCAAACTAGTGCCAAGAATGGGACCAATACGCTCAGGCTTGCTTAGCCTTTTTGCCATTGTCCAAATTGAATTATCTCCAGTATAAAGGGAGTGAATGTTTTCTCTGTATAACATTAAAATATCCGTCTGATCAAAAATCTACCAATAAGAAACTTTTCATATGTTATGTGACAGACTTTCTGCAAACAGAAGTCCTCAGCTCTGTTCTTGTACATGTTTTTTAATTGTGGTTCAGATGTGTACTTCTCAAAGGAATTCTTCTCATAGGAAGATTATCTGAACATTTAAAAACTATATTCTGCTTTTAGGGGCCTAATATTTTATGCCCCTAAAAATTAATATTGAAATTTCTAAAATGTTGAAAAATATGTCATCTGGATTCTGTACAAAAAATATAATCCCCTTTTTCATTTCTGCATTTGCAATTCCTGCATTTTCTTTATTCCTACATTTTTTAATTGGAAGGAATTTCATTCGCAGAGCCCTCTAATTTATTCTTACAAATCATGTAGTAATGTACCATTTTAGATAGATATAAATAACACATTTTGTAATTTTTCTAAACTGTGGTTATACAGCATGATATAATAGCTACACAGGGGGTATGGCGAAACAGTATACAGCAATATCTGTCGCACTGTCTGAGATGGGTGGTAGTCATACATAGCTTAATGCTTAAATTTGTTATGTGTTATTTATTTATTCATGTTTTTTTTTTTTTTTTTTTTTAATTATGTTATAGCAGTTTATTTCTTTCATTCTTAGGTCCGGAAGTGAAAAATTTGACTTTTCTACGCCAGAAGTTACAGCTAATGTTCCTAAGACAAACCAGGCTTTCCTGAGGTAAGTTGGTTTATTTTTAAAATAGATATTAGCTGTGCATGATATTACAGTTACTTAATTATGGTTAACTAATTATGTATTAATTTAGAAGTCAAGCAACCAAAATCAGCGTTATATTTTCAAATAGTGAATATTTCAAAATATGATGCTGATTTTTGTTGCTTGACTCTCAAATTAATACTTGGTCGGTGTGTTATTGTATCTTAATTAAACTAATTATGGTTCTTTTCTTCTCAGTTCTGATCTGGACATTTCAGTTATTGACTCTGACGTAGAAGGTAGAAATACAAGCTCTCTTTTGGGGTAAATATGTATTTCTCTATGCCAAAAATTAAAATGTCATTTATTTATGTTTTTTTTTATGGTGTTACATTATGTTGTTTACATACTGATAGCTATTAAAACTGTTAAATATAATATTGTAGCTATCAAAAAGAGGGGGATGAATTTGATTTGTACCAAATTTGGACGTTTTTGCATGAAAGAACTTGAAAAATATGCAGCATATATCAAAGATTTAAAGATTTTTTTAAAAATATATTCATTGAAATCAGTGAAATTTTCAGTTGGGACACTGAAGCAAATGAAAATATTTTGGGGTTTGATTCTTTTGATGGGAGCCTCATCAATAAGCCTACTATCTTTTTTAAATATTGCTTCTTTTTCATTGTTTTCATGATTTTTATGTTCCCTTCATGAAAGAGATTTTTAATAATTTAAATTTTGTTAATAAAATATATACAAAATGAAATCTGTGATTATGTGGCTGTTATTTTTTCCATATATATTTATTTGAGGAGGAAAACCACAAAATTTTATTATTTTACAGAATTTTTAAGAAAAAAAATATAAGGATAAAATTTTTTAAATAATTCTGATTACTACCTTTGCTTCCTCTCATAATGTGCCTCAAATTAGAGCAATTAGACAACAAATTTAAGTCGTGATCTTTTTTTTTTTTCCAAGTTTTTTTTTTTTAGGCTTAGGAGTATAAATTGCTTATCCCCACAAGACAGTGCATCTTCTTAGTATGCAATCCTAAGGCTCCGTTCACATGATGGTATAAATGTCATAGACGCATAATCATAAGGCACAAAATGTGGGAGTTCCATTCACACCTGCGAGAGAGGGTCTAAGCCATAGCCAATTAGAGAAGCTAAATTTGTGCATGCATGTATGTGTCTACAGCTTTCTCTCTCAATAGGTTTTATGTATATGCTCTGATTGGCCGACTCTTATATCAAGTCGGCACAAAGTTGAAAACTTCAAGCTTAATGCCCAAACTAGTTTTTTTGTGACATAGCAAGGTCTGACTACAAAGCGTTGTTAGTTGGGAATTATGACATTTATACAACGGCTTGAATAGAGCCTTAGAAAGCCATTTGGTAACTGAGTTATCCACCATGAAAGAGTTATTCTTGCCCCTCTGAATTCAGTGTTTACTGGAACACGAACATTTTATACTCAGGTGTAGAGGCCCTTCATGTGAAACCTCCGGCACACAAAGTAGTGACTAATATTGCACGAGCAAATGACACTGCGAGCATGGAAGCAGCAGTTGTGAAGATGACTCATCTTCTTGTAGTAATATACTGGTAATCCAGTGTATTATTATTGTTAATTTATTTGCTATCTGTTGCCTAAATTTCCTAAACCTAATTGCGAATGGGGCTGCCTGCATGGGCGTTTGCATGGTTTTTCCCCGTTTATATGAGCCATTTCCCTTAGAAAGTCCTCCATGAAAGCATTCCTCCTCTTAGGAAGATCAAGTGCTTTGCTGTCATCAAATAAGCCAAAATTTAAACCTAATTTGTAATATTTTTATATATTATTATATATATGTATATATTGTATATATATATATTTTAGCTTGGAGTCTGAGCCTCTTCAGGAGAACCTTAATGATGAATTTCTGTGTCCTGATTCACCTTTAATTATCGAAAGGGAAGATCGACGAAAGGCAAATCCATTACCATCTGGCAGAACAATTTGCAATATGTGTTCTTTTGTGAATAGTGCAGGCTAGAAAGCTAAGACATTAGAGCAACATTCCCTAAATTGTAAATTTGGAGGATCATTTTGATTTTTGAAACAAAGTGATTCGACGTGGTCTTGTCACTACATATAACTATGTATGTGATAAAATTTTATGTGGGGAGAAATGGCAACAATTTGTTCTGATATGGAGAAAAAGCAGCCTAAATCAGCTTGCAGTATTAGGTGCGTTATCTACTGGCAGTGTGGATTTTCACAAGAGGAGGAAAAAGTTTAGCATCATGGAAATTACCGTATATGAGCAACTCGACCTTTGCTTCTTGTGAGCGAACTACTGGCAAAATAATACAGGGATGTGCACAGGAAACTATGTGTGCTGCTATAGAAGAGGAGAAAAGGCAGGCAGATAACTTCGCAATGATAAAGATAATGATGGTTATCACTGTATAACTGTCATTGTTGATGGAGGTTGGTGTAAAAGAAGCTGGCATGCTATGGGCATGGTTACAATGCTTCAAGTGGCATATCTGTTATTAATAGGCATGGTCACCCAGAAAATTTTTGTTTGTTGGAATTCGCAACAAAGTGTGCCTTATATGCAGTGCTATTGAAGATGGCAAGATGCCAAATAAATAAAGTGCACCTTTGTTGGCGAAATTGGAATGGGCCTTCTACAGGTATGGAAAGCAGTTGCCATTGTGGAAGGTCTGAATTATCTCCAGTGTGTTCACAAAATACGTTGTACTCGACTTGTTGGAGATGGAGATGCTAACACAATGGCCAAAGTGAAAGAAAGCGTTTCATATGGAGGACGGGTGATAAAAAGTAGAATGTGCTAACCATGCTTTTCGAAGATATCGCAGAGCTTCTTGAGAAACTTCAACAAAATACTGCGCGCTTCCCGTGGGGCTAAAGGAATTGCTGCCCGTTTAAATTGCTGAAAATTAAAATGCCACTGTTAGTCAGAGGGTGCTAGAGTAGCTTATAAAAGCTCATGCTTTACCTAGCCATTATCAGCACACACAAGAAGCTATTGATGCATTAGTATCTGACTTGAGAAATGGGCCACATCATATATTTGGCAAGCATGATGCTTGTAGTGCTTTTTGTGCAAAGAAAGGTGCAGAGTTGGAACAGCACATACAATGAAATTTTTTCCTCGGGTATGTTGCAAGCTATTGAAGCAGAAGTGGGAAGAGTACTGATATAGTGTATGCCATATGGTTTTATTGAATTTTTTTACTGATTTCTGCATTATTAATGAGCAATTTTTTCCAGTTTATTGTTTCTGAGATCACAAACTTGGAATATATATTCAAAAGTAGTGGTTTCCTCTCACTGCTGCTGAAGAATGTGACCTTGATTTCTTCAAACACCTTAAAATGCTTGCTCATAAACGATTTTCCTGCAGAAGCAAAAATGAGCATCCAGAGATGAAAAAGTTTCCAAACTCTTCAAAGCAAGCGGATAGCATTGAACAGCAACCTGGGGATGATGAAAGTCATAAAATCTCTGGTGACCCGACAGGCAAAGAAAATTTAAATGATGATAGCTGCTATAAGTCGATCGGCGGAAGTTCAGATTCCGGCAATGAGCCAAGAAGAAATAAAACTATTTGTCACCAGCCAGAAAAGAGTAAGGAAGGAAAGTGTCTGCTAACATGAGAATGAAGGTTTTTGATGCTGCAAAAAAGCTGATGGAAATGGAAATAGAAATGCCAGTACCCAGCCTGACATTCCCCCCCCCCGGGGGTTGACGTAGAGAACTCTGCGAAGCTACTGGCTAGGATCTGTATCTAGGCAGTCTCGGATTCTGCTACACCAAACAAGTGGCTTGCATTAATCCTATCACAATTCAGGACTCCTGATTCAGCTGGAAGGACATCCATACAATGATATTTGAGAAGAAGACATACAAAATTGAGTATTGTGGAAAGATGATTGCTTATATCTTGAACGTGGATGATCCACTTGTCTACAAAACTCATAACCATTCTAAAAATAAGGACATCAAATTTCAGTGCATCCTGCTCTCACAAGAGAGAAAGGTGATCATTAGAAGCCTTCCCAGCTCCACATGTTAATGCTGCCTCATGTTGCATAATATAATAATACACACACTGGCCAATCAATAAGAAACCTTTCAGATTTTCATCTGAATGCATGCTAGGGATGAAATATCCAAATTTTTTCTATGATGTGGATTATACTTGGTTAAAATGCCAGTATAAGTAAGGTGTAAGAGTGCTTTTCATGATGAATGAAGTAAAAAGGCGGCAGATCGTTCACCATTTGAAAAAGGGGCTTATTGTTGGTGCACATTTAGTGGGGGCATCGATTTCGAATCCTTCTCTAAAAAATGTAACTGCAGTTCGAGCATAGTTTTCAAAGACAGTGATCGGCGGTATCTCCGATGAATTGTACGGCAGAACACGGATTCAACTATCACAAATCGTCAACCAAGGCTCTTCCCAACAAATTTCAGCTAGAACTATGCGCAGCGAATTGCAGAGGGATAGGAATGCATAGTTTTGGTGCCTGTAAGAAAATCACTCAGTTCTGCCGACATGCAAGACTTCATTTTCAGTGGTGTCGAGAAAAGACACTGGACATCTGAGGATTGGAAATGGGTAATGTGGTTGGGATATTACATTATGTATTACATATTAAACATAAGTTATGGGTTACCTCATAACTACAGAAGGTTCCTGTTCGCTGCCAGAAAAGGTTGAAGTAATCTGCAATGTAATTAAATTACCGACAATACATGAGCTTTGTTCATTTATGGGCATGATAAAATTTTATCGATGCTTTTTGAAAAATGCTGCAGAAACTCAAGGAGTCATACACGAAATGTTAAAGGGTGATAAAAAAAGATCATTGTAAAGTTCCATGCACAGATGAAGGTGTTTAGTGTATTTAATTATGGCAAAGCACACTAGGGCTATCTGCCTAAGAGAAGGGATGCCTTCGTGGAGGACTTTCTAAGGGAAACTGGCTCATATACACGTTACACATGGGGAAAACCACGAAAACGCCCATGCAAGCCAGTACGTTCGCGGGATTTCGAACCTCGGACCGAACTACCACTGTTCAGCGATTTTACCGCTCTGCCCGCTGGTAGGCCTGCACAGATGAAGGAATTCACCAGTTTTGAGAAGTGCAAATCTGATTTAGTCAATGGTGCCCTTTTGTGTTTCCCAATGGATTACCCTTTGTGTGCAGATACATCAGACTTTCCTATAGGATCAGTATTGCAGCAATTGGAAGAACAAGAACAAGACTGAAAACCTATTTGTGTTCTACTCTAAAAACATTAAATAATGCACAGAAGGTTTATAGTACCTATGACAGAGAATTCTTAGGAATATATCTTTCTGTCAAGCATTTTAAACATGTATCGGAAGGACGCAAATTCATCATACTTACTGATCACAAGCCACTGTCATATGCATAGAAGCAAAAAGAATGGGAAGGCATAACCCAGACAACAACCCAACTTCAGTATATATCGGAATTTTCAACTGATATTCAGCATATTGATGCCAAAGAAAATTTAGTTGCAGTTGAAGTAGTCTCAGTTACTGGCTATGAAGCAGTAAGTAGCAGATGCTCAAGAATATAATGAAGAATTGCAACATTTAATGACAGGTAGTGCTTCACTGAAATTTAAATCATCTACATTAGCATTTTGAAAACATTAAGATGTGACAGCTCAACAACCAGTATCAGGCCTTTATTTCAAAGCAATTTAGACAACAAATGTTTCATCAAATTCATAATTTTGCTCCTCTGGTATCAGGACAACTGTCAACGAGATGACTGAAAAATTTATCTTTCCAAATATAAGAAAGAAAATTCACGAATAGACTTAAAGTCCTGTTAATTGTCAAAGGAGCAAAGTCAACAGGCATACAAAATCTAAAATAGCCGAGTTCCAAGCACCTCATGCTAGATTAAGTATTGTGCAAGTTGACCTGATTGGGCCATTACCACCATCTGCTGGTAGGACGTATTATCTGACATTTATTGACCATTTTTTCCTGTTAGGGAGAAGTAGAAGAAGTTTCTTTACCAGATATCACAAGAGAAATGGTTGTCAAAGCATTTTACAATCATTGGATTAGCAGATTTGTTGTGCCTAGTTCCATAATCTCAGATCAAGGAAGACAGTTTTGAGTCGCAGCCTTTCAGAGCCTTGCAAAAGTATGTGGTGCTAAAGTTTTACGTTCCACTCCATACCACCCACATTGCAGTGGGAAAATTGAGCAGTTTCTCAGAACTTAAAAAAATGCAATAAAGGCTCACAGCAACATCAGATGGACAGAAATCCTTCTAGGATTCAGAGTTGCAATATGTCCTGATACTAATCACTCACTAGCTCCAAATGGTATATGGTATGCACATAATGGTTACCATGGTGAGTTTTTTCGAATCAGCCTACCACAAGAACTTGAACCAGAGTTATTTGTAACAAAGTTACAAAATTTTATGGATTAGCTTAAACCAGCTTTAAATCACCAGTTACTAACAAACATAAAAATATTTATGCATAAAGATTTGAAAATCATGTTCTTATGTGTTTGTGAGAACTGATCGTATGTGAAAAAGGCACTTGAACCACCATTATGAAGGACCCTTTTTTGTGGTGCAGAAATGTGATAAGTATTTCTCGAGTCTTTAATTAAAGGTAGACAAGTCAACATTTCATTGACAGACTGAAACCAGCTTATTTGTTACTTTCGAACAAATTACTAGAAACAGTGACTAAAAATAAAAAACCATTTCACATTTCATGTACCCAAAATTCTGATATTGTACCTAAACGTCAAATCTATATTCTAGATGGTATGAAAATCAGAAAATGTGTTGGATTTAAGGACTAATGTTTTGTATATTTTGCTATACTTCATCATCTTCTAAATATTAGTAAAATATATATCTGCATTAGTGATAATCAGCTGTGAGCACATAGTGCACCATCTGCGACTCATTTGGGTATAAACTATTGCTAGTGATTATAATGTCCTTGCTTTTTCCCATATGCCATATGTTGCATGAAATTTTGTTATATGAATCTAGCTTCCTGTGAGGAATTTCTGTGATCTTTCTAGTATGTATGGTCAAGAATTAGGCTTGTGATATACTGTCATGATTTTGCCCACATGTTCCCTGAATATACTACCATTTCCTTAGGAAGACTTCCAAGAAGAATACTGTTGTGAGTTCTAAGCCTAACTATGGTTTGGAACTGTTTATAATGAATTATTGGGATTCTGCACATGTAATGTGGATGCAATTCTATTTCCATTTAGAAGATTTTCTGCAAAGGCAATGCTTTAGCTGTGAGATAATTCGTTTTTGGAAATAAAACTGATATTTATTTAGATTTGTGGTATTTATAAGGCAGTTTTATCAATAGCAGGTAGCATCTTGCCTCTTTGCTTTGATCAGGGCCTGTGCAACCAGTGGTAGTCAAAATTTTATAATTTAGCCAGAGGGCACTGAGCAGCAAAATTTAGAGGCAAAAAAATGTTCAGAACTTACGAAGACATCAGCCAGCAGAATTTAGGATATGCAAAGATTGCACTGAGTGGCAATAGTGCCATATGTTACATTTGCTAATCTGCATTATTAATTTGTGAAACAATTTTCAGCTGTTGAAAATGCATTTTTCTGTTAGAAATTTGTATTTCTTGCAATTTCTTTTTTTTTGGGGGGGGTCGAGAATATGGTGGGTTAAAAATATTTTATCATTTTCTTTTTTTTTTTTTTTCTTTTCAGGTGAAAATTTTGTGCATGATTTGGCTTTCATTGAGACGTCTCTGGGTCAGGAAGTTACTAAGGAAGAGAAACTTACATGCAGGTTGAAGGATGCAGTGTCAAATGTATAAGGAATATAAAAGATGCTGTATATTAGTATAAGTTTGAATAACCATAATAAAAAATTTCTTGAAAATTGTGTTTTTTTTCTGCGAGTTATTAAAATTGGAAATAATTAATTACAATATTTATGAAATTTTTCGAAAATAAAAATACAAGTAGTATTTAAAAGTACTGCAAAACTCATTTTTAAGTAGAAAAATTATTCTCAGATGAAATTCTTTATGCAAAAGGATTCGATTATGCAAAAGGACTTTTTTAGTATTTGAAAGGTTCATTTGAACCCAACAACTGAAACTAACGTATCCCCAGTTTTATTGATACCAACCATTTTGCTGGTATCAATGAACCCACTACTTTCTAAAAGCATTTCTGTCAATTACTAAGGGCTAATGAACAAGGTTGAATTCTCAGATGAATGTTGCCGAAACAGAAAAAAGTGTACTTCAGAACATTCTGCAGTAGCTCAAACAAAGTCACGGACCTCATCTATACTGTAGTCAGGAGAAATTATTCCCCTTCCTTTTTCTTTCAAAAGCTGAGTTTCCAAACGCACAACGGGGAGGCCGTTGCTAAAAGCTGTGGAACCAGTTTATAGCTATTTTTAGCAACTTGTGAGCTGTTTTCAGATAACACAGTAAATCTCGGGGAGGGGGAATTTGAAATCATGATCACTTGCCGGTACGGCAGAATTTACGGTACAGCAAAATTGTAAAATTCAGCGAAGCATCAAGCAATAAAATTTTAGAATTTGTTGGGGGAAGGGCACTTGACAACAGAATTTATTGCGTACAAAGTCAGCAAAATGCATAGCGCCGTACCTGATTCATGATACAGCAGTATTCATTACCAATAGCAAACTTGTTTGAGGATAATTTTCGAAAAATGTTTTCTAGTTGTTACCTAAAATCGGTAAAACAATAATCTTTGAAAGATTATTCGATTATATCGTTACTAATATGGTAAAAAAAATTTGAAAAGCAATCAGAAGCCGTATCTCTAGGGTCTTCAAGTCACGATTTGTTTTTATTTGTTCGAATATGGTATTTATATCTCTCTTCCTACAAGTATGTATCTTCGTACGTATAAAGTATCAAAAAATAATAAAAGTAATTAATAAATTTTCTCTAGTTTGCCTGAAAACTACATCTGAATATAAAGATAAGAAAGACGTCAGTAAATTGCTGTTGTTATTTGCTGATCATAATGGTAATCAACCGAACATGATCACATATACCGTCTTCAAAACTTTGATTTTTATCAAGCTTCATATAAATACTAGGTTTTTTTTGTTAGTCACGTAATTTGACATCCTAAATTTAAGATGACAGATGAAATAATGACTAGTTCTGAATTAGCTCACTCAGGAAGTAAAATTTTCTCCTTCCCGTCAATATAGCCATATTCATAGCTCCCAATGATGGCGATCACTAACTAAAATATGTTATGGATTAGAAGCCCTGATGGGAAGCACTCCATAAGTTTTTGTTTATTCGCTTTTTGTGCATGCATGCTTGGTTGTGGAAGAAATTAAAAAAGTACCCCCTTTTTTTTTTTTACTTAGATTATTCGAATGTATACGCCAAACATTTATTTGTTGAATTGTAATAATAATTTGGAACGTGGTGCTAGAGCCGTTGCAGTTGAACCGAATGCAAGTTTGTTTAGAATTTAGAGAGTTTGATTACGCCAAAGCAGGTGAATTTGGAAAACCACAAAAATCGCTCATGCATCCAACTCGTTCATCGAGGCTTGAACTCCGATTGAACTACCAGTGCTCGGCGGCTCGCTTGCTAGAATTTAAGGAGGAAATGATTGTTAGAATTGGGTCAGGCTCTTTAAATGTAGCAAAGCCATGAGGGTTATCTCCTTAAGATGGCAGATGCCTTTGTGGAGGAATTTTCTGAAGACTTATTAGATTAGTTTATTATGGCAAAGCACACTAGGATGCCTTCATGTTGGGACTTTCTTAGAGAAATTGGTTTCCTCCCATACACGTTACACATGGAGAAAAACTATGAAAACGTCCATGCAGCCAGGGCCTGTTAGCCTTGATTCGAATCCAGGTCGAAACTACCAGTGTTCAGCGATTTAATTCCTCTACCGCGGGAGGGCCTAATTGCTTTGAAGGGAACTGGCTTGTATTCATGTTATACACATGGGGAAAACAAACAATGCAGCCAGCTGGTTTCATCTGGCATCGAACCCAAACCAGTTCGAACTTTCCAGTATTCAGTAGTCTTTAACCACTCGGCCACTGGTGGCGTGTGGTAGGAGCCACAGATAATGTAATGAGCTGAGTAGCAAAAATCCCTAATAGTGGCCCTGGTTACTAGTAGGAATTGTTAAGTATATTGGTAATCAAATCCAATCTACAGCAAGGAAATTTCGGAGCTTAATTGTAAAGTCAAATGCGACACTCCGATAAACGTGGTATATGTAGAGATGGAAAAATTTATTATTTAAAATACTTGTATTTATTAGTAAACATTTTATAAAATTTATTCTTAATTTAGCGTTTAAGAATTCTAAGAGAGTTATCTGAGTATTTTTTCCTCCTTTGGTAATCCAATAAAATTGAGTAAATTTATGTTCTGTAATATCTTTGCGTGTTATATACATAGTTTTTTTTTTTTTTTTTTTTTTTTTCTTTCAAAGTTAGACAAGTTTACACAAAACATATAGGTCGAAAAGGGAGCTGGTCTGCGCCCGGTGAGCCTGTCGGCAGCGTCGCAAGCGTAATTTTGACTAACGAAAAGATCATGCTTTGGATCTGGTGATCTGGATAGTCACTTGTGTTGAAAAATAAATTTATTTCAACAACATAGGCCAAAATTTAGTTGATCTGCGCCCGTGAGTCCGTCGGCAGCATCGTAAAGCGTAATTTGACTAACAAAAAGATCATTCTTTTGTATTTGGTGGGATTGCCGTGGTATTAATCACAAATAGTATATGGAAAAAGGTAAAACCCTTGACAGTAAAGGATACAACGAGATGCTAGTGCATGTTGACGCTGCTATCAAGGAAAAGAGTCGAATTGAGTTCCGGCGCAGAAAGGTAACGTTCCATCAAGATAATACCATACGTGTCTGCATTCACCGGCTAGCCTCTGTACGGACTCGAAAGGGATCTTTCACCACATCCACCATATAACCCCGACATCGCACGTTCGGACTTTCAGCTACATCTTGCTGGTCCTATCTTCACTTCTGCACAAGACGTCCGAAATGAGGTTGACCTGTGTTTGGACTCGGGCCACCAAGTTTCCGAGCCGAAGGTTTTGAAAAACTACCAAAAAATTGGCAGAAAAGCATAGATTTTTGGTAGTGATTACTATCCGCACTAAAGGTACTGACTGCTTTTTTTTCATAACTTTATGAAGAACGTTCGTGCTTAAAATTTTCGTTACAACCATTAAATTCTGTAATTTATGAATTCCTTCCCACTTCTCATGTATTTATCAACTGTTCTTTATGAACCTGATATTCCTACAATTATCAGCTGTACTTTATAAATCTGATATGTAGAAACGCAATTTGATTTTATGCATTTCAGTATCAAGTGAAATCTTTAAATTATAACACTTTATTCCAGTAATCGTTCATTATAACACTTTATGTTGTTTTCATTCAAAGCTGAACTCAGATAATGTGCCGAGGTTGAACTACCAGTAATAGGCGACTTTAGCGCTCGCCCGCTAGAATTTAGAGAGGAACTGAGTGCTAGAATTGGGTTAGGCTCTTTGAATATAGCAAACCCACGAGGTGGCAGATAGCAGATGCTTTCGTGGAGGAAGTTTCTGAAGGCTTAGTTTAGTTTATAGCAAAGCTCCCCATACACGTTACACACGGGGAAGATTATGAAAACGCCCATGTAGCCAGCCCGTTCGCCTTGATTCGAACCCAGGTCGGAACTACCAGTGTTCAGCGATTTAACCGCTCGGCCGCGGGTGAGCCTAATTGCTGAAGGAAACTGGGTCGTATTCATGTTGCACAACAGGAAAACAAACCATGCAGCCAGCTGGTTTCGCCTGGGATCGAACCGAAACCAGGTCGAACTTCCAGTAATCAATATTCTTAACCACTCAGGCCACTGGCGGCGCGTGGCAGAAGTAAGGAGCCACAGATATTGTAGTGAGCAGCAAAAACCTCTAATACTGGCTCCTGGTTACTAGTAGGGAATTATATATTGGTAATCATCCAATCTACAGCAATGAAATTTCGGAGCATAATTGTGAAGTTAAATACGACACTTCCGATAAACGTGATATATATAAAGACGGAATTTTTTTTTAAAAAGGAAACTTACTATGCAAATACATGTATTCATTAGTAAACATTTTATAAAATTTATTCTTAATTTAGCGTTTATGAATTCTCAGAGAATTATCTCATCGGAGTATTTTTTTCTCCTCTGGTAATCCAATATAATTATAATAATCTGGTAATAATTCAATATAATTGAGTAAATTTATGTGCTGTTAATATCTTTGCCTGTTATGTACATAGTTTTTTTTTTTTTTTTTTTTTTTCGTTCAAGTTAGAACAAAACTGAACGTACGTTACACTGAAATTACTTTGTCTAGAAAGTAAGCGCTTGAGTAGAAACAGATGTTGGGGTTTCATTTTTAGAAGACATGAGATCGCTTTCTGTAAAAGTAATGTTATAAAATTTTGAATTTGAAATAATCGTACTTTGTTTTTAGTAGCGCAGAATGATAAAGATTTAATGAGAATATAGCAAAGCATCTTTTTAGAGAACGCTGTTATAATTTTGCTATTTTATTTTTTTATGGTAGGTCAAGGAAAAAGGCAGGCTGCTAAATACGGTAACAGCACATTGCTCTGTTTCATATATAGCGAATCCGCTTCTGAAATGAGGCACGAAGCGGTAAAGTAGCTGAACACCAGTATTTCGGTCCGAGTTTCGAATCCCGCGAAGGGACTGGTTGCGCTTTCGTGGTTTTACCCTGTGTAACGTGTCTAGGAGCCAATTTCCCTTAGAAAGTCTTCCACGAAGGCATCCTTTCCCTTAGGCAGATAGATCGTACCGGTGTTTATTTATCAACAGTACTGGTTATTTTTAAAAATGATCATCCTAGAAAGGTGATTGCCAAAAAGTATTCACTTCGCATTATTTATACGTTATGCATGAATATACTCTTTTTAGTCAATCTAATATATATAAATTACTAATGCTTTAAAAAAATTCAATTTTCAATATTCTGTTTCCTATTTGTTCCTGTTCAATGAAACAGATTCATACACAGCAAATCCAAATGCATCGCTACAGGAAGATGATAAACCAGCACAGTACGTAATTACAGTTACATCCGGAAAAGAGTAGATATACATATAAATACATAATATATATATACGGTATACAACGATATACAATATATATATATATTATCGTTTTTTAGGATGTATCTATAATATGTATCATTTTACTTTATTAAAATATAATATTCAATTTTGTAATTTAGGAATTTCTTCTCCCTTATCATGTATTATCAGCTTGTACTTTATAAACCTGATACCCCTTCAATTATCAGCTGTATTTTATAAACCTGAAACATAGAAACGCAATTTGATTTTATGCATTTCAGTATCAAGTGAAATATTAAAACTGATTGTTCATTTATAATTTACTTTATGTATTCATTCAAAGCGGATCTCAGATAATGTGCCGCAAATTATGTCCACACTAAGTTTTTTTGTGCAAATAATACGTCCTGCTAGTGTTTTTGTAATAAAATGCATGTTATTAATTGATTTCGAATTTTCGTTGCATCTTGATATTGCTGCCAAAAGATATTCAATCAACAATAGTATCTTTTACTACGTTTATGTGTGTGGATACATAGACCATTTCTCCGTGTACTAGAAAAATTTGATAATGATTTACCCACTTTTGAAGTAAAAAAATAATAGTTAGGAGTGTTATACGATTTTATAATACAAGTAAAAAATATATATAAAGCTCTGGAAAGTGCTAACACATATTTATGGAATATTATGGATGGTAATTTATGAAATATTATGGATGGATGAGTAAATGGAATATTATGTGCGTGCTATATATGTATACACATATCATCAAGTATAAAATCATTTATATATAATTTTTATGTCGCGATGAAATTTTTCTTCCGCAAAATAACGGCAAATTATGAAACATTACGCAACATTGAAAAGCGTGATGAACAAATTTTGCGAAAAGAAATAGCGACTGCTGCACGTATCTCACAGATATCTTTCATTCAACACAAAGGTGAAAAAGTTCTATTCCTGTTCAAAACATACCCTGCAGTCTGAGTCACAGACGGAAGAAATGACAGCAGGTCTTTTGTTCAACTGAGGGGATGTGTTTTATGGCTTACTCACTTTCCCGCCAAACAGGTACAGAGGAAGGAAGCGTCGTTGCCATAGTAACCAGGCTGTAGGTAGTCTTACAGATTTGAGTCTTTATCGCTCAACGTTCGTAGCGCCATCTGTTATTAAAAATCGACATGAGAAAGGGGTATTAAACGCTCTTAAATCATGTCATCCGACTAAACAAAAGTTAGCTTCATTTTATTCCTATGTTTTCCGTGCTCTTCAAGTTTGCTCCTCCAAACTAGCCCTTGATGAAGAACTAAATTATTTAAAAGCAATAGCTATTGACAGGGGCTTTCCACCCAACATTATTAATCAAGCAGTTAAAAAATTCTCATCTCAACACACTAAAGGCACACTCGTGTTTTAGGAGATTATAAAAATTATGTTTGTCATTCCCTTCTTTCCATCAATTAGCTATAAAGTTGCACATATTTTGCAGAAATTTAACTTTCGGGTTGTTTTTATTCTCCCATCAATAAATTCCGAGTTCCATACTCAAGGACCCCATTCCGGATATGAATTCCTGGGGTATTTATAGGATTCCTTGCCAGTGCGGTTTAATTTACGTTGGCCAAACTAAGAGGCCTTAAAATTTCGCGTCAAAGGAACATGAGGCATATGTTAGAAAAAAGGAAACACAGAAGTCTTCTGTTGCTCAACATTGTTGGTCCGAAAACCACATTTTCAGTTTTCTGCTGCCAAAATTATTCAAAAAACATCTTCCATTGGAGAACTGGATTTTTCTAGAGGCATTTCACATTCATAAAAATCTTTCTGTTCTAGTTAACGATCCTAATTCCAATCCAAATTTGCCTTCGGCCTTTAAAGAAATTATGTTTTAGTTCTGGTTTCACCAACAGATGGCGCCACTTGCTTATTCTTGTCCAGGCTTTCTTATCTTATCTAATCATTATTTCTTATCTGGTTCATTTGCGGTTTTGCAGCTGAAGATGGTGGTTCGGTAAAACCATCGAAACTAGTCCTGTGAAAATTTTCTAAATATAACGCTGATTTTTGTTGTTTGACTTCTGAATTAGTATTTATTCGCCGTGTTATTGTGTCTTAATTAATGAGATTATTAATTAAATAATGAAAAATCTGCATAAATGTATGTATATTTCTCGCATTGTGAATAAAACAGCGGTGCATAGAGCCATCGCATTTTGAATGACGTAATCCTCCTACGAATATGGAAGCCGAAATTTGAAATTTGTTTTATTATCGATTTCGTATTTCGTAAAACATTAACGAATTTTCGATTAACAAACTCGGGGATTTAAAAGCGAGCAATGGCAACACTCTACGGGGGGGGGGAGAACCTTTTTATATCCAGCGCTCGAAACTGTGTACCGGAAATTCAAAATTGATCAAACTGTTGCCACCAAATGTTACAGTCCTGCATTATATTTGAAGAAATTATTTAATGAAAAATCTATATCAATGTATATACATTTCTCGCATTGTGATAAAACAAAGGTACGTAGAGCCATCGAATTTTGAATGACGTGTTCCTACTGTGAATATGGGCATGCGGAAGACCAAATTTGAAATTTGTTTTATTATCCATTTCATAGCTTGTGAAACTTTAACGAATTTTTGATTAACAAACTCAAGGATTTCAAAGCGAACCATGGCAACATTGTACAGAAAAAACATTTTTATCCCAGCGCGCCAGACTATGTATCAGAAATTCTAAAGATGGCTTAATTTAAAACTACTCTGATATGTTGCTTTTGAAATGACTTTATAGTTTGTGCGAAGAACGTGATATTTAATAACTAAAAGTAACACACAAAATGTTCAAAAAAAGTTCCTTTGGACGTAATTTATTTTAATATTTATCTTTAATAAATAATTTATCTTTAATTCAAATCTGAAGCCTTTCAGATTTTCTTTCTTTCTTTCTTTTTTTTTTTTTTTAATTTTTTTCATGTTTTTTTAACATAAATGTTTTTATGATGGCTTAGAATTTCGTTGAAGGAGGATCTGGCGATGATGACAGTAGTGCAGCTTTCAGCGACTGGAGCGAGTGGACTCGATGCAATCGCAATTGCAAGCAAGTTCGAACACGCTCTTGCAAGAAACCCGAAGTTTGCCAAAACAAGGTGGAGAAGATGCAGAAGTAAGAATACCTTCTACACATTTTAAGAACAGACTTTACAAACAGCATAAAAAACAAAATGAATATTAAGAGAACGGGTTAATCAGAAAAAGAGAGTTAATCCCCTCTCCTCCACACACATTACCAAAAATCGTGTAATGTTTTTTTGGGGGGGGGATGGAAAGGTAGAGCGCCTGGTGTCGTTGCAGATGCGGCCAAGAAGGGGAGACGAACATTAATTACTAAGGGAAGACGAAATGGAAGTGTTACAGTACACATCACTGAAACTTACTTCTCTGGGTTTTATTAAAAATATATTTCTCAGTCAAACACTTCAGTTCTTTCATCGCAGCAAGGCAAAAATACATAAAAACTCAAAACAGCTTCATGAAAAATTGTAAAATACATAATAAACTGAAACACCAAATACAGTTAATTTTTTTTTTCAATTTATTGTAATTTTAACTAAACAAGCAATTCGGCCAGCGGGCAGGAAAACAAAATTTTCGGTGCACGAAACTGAAAGTTAACTTTTGGCCATACTCAGCGAAAAGACTCTGAAGTTGGTGCACCAGCTGACCTTATTCACTATTCTACAAAGAGTTTCAAATGTAAACAAATGGTGGCCACGTTAGGCTTAACCTAAACTATTCAATTGTTGATAATTTTGCAACTATTGCATGCAGAATAATTAAATGTATAAAAAACCTTAGCCAGAACAATATAATTTAAACATTTTTAAAGCACAAAATTCAAAATTTACCAACATATAAGAATAAAAAATTGAGTTCATCGAACCGGGTAACCGGCTCGGTGACCTTATAGAGACATGAAAAATGAGCAATGTCCTCCCTGGGATTCGAACCACGGACCTCTCGAATACGCGTTGAGCCTGCTGAGCTGACTACTACACCAGGAAGGCACGCTAAGAAGGCAGGAAAAGTACCTTAGTTCAAAGTGCGGCGGATTGCATCGAAATAAGACAGATGCACAACCTAAGTATTATATCAGTCGCATATACAAAATTTTAACTTTCTATGGCTACTAGTTTTTGAGTTATGTCAGATAAATGCATACGTTAGAAAATTAATACGTGATAAGATAAATAATATACAATTCACAGAAATATTTCTACTCACTCTATTTTACGATCCGTTTTGGAAGAAAGAGTACTGTCGGTACATAAAGGCATAACGCCAAAAAATAAATTGTAAATATATAGCTTTAAGCTACTTTTAAGAATATTCCCGAGAAATCCGCTAAGAATACATTCTAGAATATTCTCGCTCCGTCTATGGCGTATCGTCAATTTTGTCGCCAAATTATATCTTCTAATTTGTGTACTTTTAATTTAAAAAGAGCGAACTGGTTTTTATTTACTGAACTTTGTAAGAGAGAATTGTATAACTTGAATATCCTTCTTAACAGTTGCTCTGATTGTATTGCATTAGAAAATGTTGTAAACAGACTTTCTACCGTTGCTTTTTAATTGTGCTTTACTTTCAATTCCGATGAAGAAAAGTAAGAAGAATGGGGTCCCTTGGTGGTCTAAGGAAATTGATTGTTATAGAAAGCATGTAAATGCTGCTAGGCGTAGATTCCAGAGAGAAAGAAACTGTCTTCTTAAAAATATTTTATAAATTAAATATTTCGAATTGCGGCATAAGTACAAGGCTAAATTAGCTAATGCTAAGCTTGAGTCGTGGAGAAATTTTCTCTCAACTATTACTGTTCACAATGTCTGGAAATCTATATATAAGTATGGGGTTAAGACCAATTTTGCGAAAAGGATTGAGATTTCGGGAATTAAACTCCCGGATGGCAGTGTTACTTCGAGTTTGAGTGATACAATTGTTGCTATAATGACAAAGAATTTCCCAAGAGATAATGCGCGTGATGATAGAAATTCTCATAGAACTATGCGCACTGAGTCTGATGGACCTTATATTTCTTTTATGGACTGTCTGTTCTCTACTTCAGAAGTTAACAGTGTTATTAAAAATCTCAAGAAGAACAAATCACCTGGGCTTGACTCTCTTTCTAATGAAAGGGTACACAGCACTTTCATGTGGTGGATAGCACATTTCTACACAGACTTTTCAAACCTTTGTTTACAATTAGCAGTTTTTCCAGCACAATGGAAGAGAGCTCGGGTTGTTTTGATTCCTAAAACGTTAGATACAAGAACCCCTTATCTTGATAATATTAGATGCATTAGTCTTTTGCCTACTTTGGGAAAATGTCTTGAAACTCTCTTCATTAACAGAATAAATTGGTATTTGAGACAAAAATGCTTTTATAATGATTCTCAGTTCGGATTTACTCCTCGGAAGTCCGCTGAAGACGCCATTATTCGCCTTTGTAATATCTTGCAGTGTGCAAAGAAAATGAAGTATACTACACTTCTTATTTTCCTGGATTTCAAAGGAGCTTTTGATAATGCTTGGTGGCCATCTATCTTAAAAATTTTAAAAGATGCTGGTATACCACATAATATCTATAACCTTCTTAAAAGCTTCTTGAACGAGAGGACTGCTGAGCTTCAGCTTGGGAACGAAGCTAAGGTTTATTCTCTAGAAAAAGGCTGTCCTCAAGGCTCTGTATCCGGACCTACTCTTTGGAACATAATCATAAATGATCTTTTAAGTCATCTCGACGGTTGTTTAAAAATTGCGTTTGCAGACGACTTACTATTAATTTTTCCAAGGAAGGATTTTGAATAACATTCTTTTGAGAGCACAAGAAGTTCTAGATTTTGTCTCCAGTTGGGCGATTTCTCATAAACTCACTTTCAATCCTTCAAAAAGTAAAGCTTATGCTTGTTCCCAGTACGTTTGATGAACAAAATATTGCTTCTTTGATGCTCGATAATTCTCCGTTGGAATTTGTAGAAAATGTTAAATATCTTGGTGTCATTCTTGACCAAAAATTAACATGGAAAAAGCACATTGAATTCCTTTCTGCTAAATGTGAAAAAATTATTAATGGCTTTCACCGAATTGCCAAAAATACTTTTGGAGTAAGCTACGATGTTAAGAAACTCATGTATAAGCAGTGTATTGTACCTTTCATTTCATACGGCTGTCGTGCTTGGGGACATGTTCTTGCCAAGAAGGTTAACAAAAGAAATTTAAGAAAGATTCAACGGAGAATTCTTCTTCGTATTATTAGTGGTTATAGAACCTTAAGCTATGAGGCTACTTTTGTTCTTGCAGGAGTTCCGCCTATTGATTTTGAAATTGCATATAAGAATAATATTTTTGAGTCATTGGCAACTCATGCTTCGGAAGACTGTATTAATGGAATTGTCCCCTTCACTGATCTTCCTCATCCCGCTTCTTTAGAACCCATAAATTTCTGCGATTATAAAGAGACTGCTGAAATAAGTTTTCATATGGTTTTCTTTACAGATGGAAGCAAGATGAACAACAAGATTGGCTTTGTTCTTTTTGAAGGCCATTCCGAGATTTGTTTTCTTAGACACCGTATACGGAATGAATGTACAGTTTTTCAAGCAGAAACTTCTGTGCATTTATCTTGCCGTCAAATGGATCCAGGATCATGGGACAACATCCTCAAAGTACCTTATTTGTTCTGATTCTCTTTCTTCTCTTCAACTTTTGAACAGTATTACCAGCTGCGATAAATTAGTTATCGAAACCCTAGTAACTGTTAGTTCACTTAGAATTAGAGGTATTGATATCTGCTTTGCTTATGTGCGTGCTCATCATGGTTTCTACGGAAATGAAAGAGCTGATTTCTTAGCTAAAGATGCCTTAAATTTACCCATTGATATCAACATTAGCATTCCAAAGAGTTATTGGAAGTCCTTTCATTATAAAAAGCTTTTAGCTATGTGGAATGAGGAATACATTTCATCTTGTAATGCTGAAGTCACCAAAAAGTTCCTTCCTTCTATTTACCATAGACTGAATTCCGAGTCTTTTCCTCTCGTTAAACTTTTAAAGTGTCTCAGTTTTTATCTGGTCACGGTAAATTTGCAAGTTATCTGTTTCGTTTTAATCTACGATCAAACAATTTATGTGAATGTTCAAAAAGAGTTCTTCAGGATGTGGAACATTTGATTTTCTCGTGCCCTACATTTGATGGCCCTAGATTATGCTTACAGAACGATTTGAAAATGTTCGGAGTGACTTGGCCAGTGAACTTATCTGTTTTCGTGAAGTCCAGACTGCTGTTCTCTGCTTTTGTTCGCTTTATTTATGCATGTAATTTTTAATGTTTATTTATACATGTAACCTTTAATGTTCTAGTTAACTTACTTCTGTAAGTCCCGTGTTGTACATATGTGGTTGTGGTGCACGGGGAGTCTGTATGTTCTCAAAGGGGAAAAAAAAAAAAAAAAAATGGCGTCCTTAGAGAATCTATGAAAAATGAGGAGCGATGAAATATTGCTTAGTTGAAAATCATATTTTTTTAAGGGTTTCTTTATTTTGTTCAGATTATCTTATTTTATCATGTTCAACATTCTTTAAAATTTGAGAAATTAGTTTTCAAGACTGGTCCCAGATAATATTTTTTTCCTTTTTGCTTCCTTGTACGCAGTAAAAGGGAAGTATTGTAATTGCGAAAAGTTTCAGGCAGCACATTTCAACGCAAATATCCATTTTCACCGCTACCGAATGCAATTTAACGAAGTTTTTGCTTGACATCTGTTCGTAAGGACAGAATAAAGGACTCTTTTCCCACCAAAAAATTGTAAAACTAATTGAAAATAAAATTCTGAAGAGAAGTTTTCATGGCTTTTGTGCGTACGTACGTACGTATGTATCTCGCATAACTCAAAAACGAGTAGCCTCAGAATGGAGAAATTTTGTGTATAGGACTGCTGTAACATGTAGATGTGCACCTCGTATTTTGGTTGCAATCGGCCGCACCAAGCGTATATAAATATATGTATATATATATCCACTCTGTTACTCGGCTCAGTGATCTCAGTTTCTTTACTCTTATATGTTTGTAAATTGTACATTTTTTGCTTTAAAAATGATTGAATTATGCTGTTCTTATCGTCCGGTTAAAGTTTTTATGCCTTTAGTAAATCTGTATGAAATGTTTTTAGAATTATTAATAATTTAAAAGCTGTTTAAGAGTCGCTAAGCCTAATAATTTTTGCCATGTCGGCCATTGCTTGTTTATATTTGAAACAACAAAATAGTAGATTTGTTGCCATTTTAGAGAAAGTAAGCTTCGCAACAACAAAGATAACGCCTTTCTTTTATTATTGCGAATTAAACCATGCTTAATCCATTCTGGAATTTATTCGAGGAAATAAGTGTTTAAGATTTACTTCATCATTTTCAATACAGACATTTTGAGTTTTTATGTATTTTTGACTTGTCGCGAAGTGAGACCTGAATTAATTGAATGAGAAATACTGAATCGTCTGTGAAAAACTGTTTCTTTTGTTGTTGTTGTTTCTGTTCTTTGCTTAATTTCTTTTATATGTCGTTTTAGATTTATTATAGTATTTGAATAGAACATGTGGCAACGATTAAATAATTCTTAAAATGATATAAACTTCTGCATTCTGAGTTTAAAAACCTTGAAATGTAGCGCTGTTAAGTGAACCTAGGGCCAGAGTGTTGCTATGGTAAACAAATACAGTGAATTTTAAACAGTGCATTTATTCAATTGTGCTTCATGCGCTATCGACGAAGGAGATTTAATGGTAAACAAATATAGTGAATTGTAAAGAGTGCATTTATTCTATTATGGTTTATGCGCTATCGACGAAGTAGATTTAATTCAATCCAATAAGTGTAAATGAAATGGAAAAAAAAAAAAAAAATAAAAAAAAAATAGGTACGATTTAATGTTCCGTACAAGGAAGTCATGTGATGCACACATCAGATTTTTTACATGTACAAAGTAAGGGAAATATTGTAATCACGAAAAATTTCGGGTGTCATATTTGAAAGACAATATCCGTTTTGACTGCTCTCAAATACACTTGAACAATGGTTTTACGTTACATTTGTACGTAAGGACACAATAAAGGACTCTTTTCCCCCAAACGGATTGTGAAATGGATTTAAAATGGGTTCAGAAGAGATTTACATGCATGCGTCCATACGTGCGTACGTACGTATGTATGTCCCACGCATAGTTCAAACACGAATAACCTCAGGATGTTGAAATTTTGTATATGGGACTGCTACAGCATGCAGATCTGCAGAACCCTCTTTGGTTGCAATCGGCCGCACCAAACGTATACAAATATATATATATATATATATATATATATATAATATTAATAATTATTCCTAAACCGTATTGATAATTGATTATATTATCTCCTAAGTTTAATTAAAGTAGAATTATTTTAAAAGTGTGCTAATATATATATATATATATATATAATAACTCTGTTAGCTGGTTCGGTGAGTTAAGATTTTTATTCATGTATGTTGGTAAATAATGCATTTTTTGATTTAAAAGGGATTCAATTATATTGTTCTTATGAACCGGTTTAGGATTTTGTGCCTTTAGTTAATCTGTATGCAATAGTGGTAGAATTTTCAAGAATTTAAAAGTTGTTTTTTTTTTCATTTGCTAATGATGCCGTCATTTGCTTTCATTTGAAATTTAGTAGTATAGTGAACCAAGTCAGTTTCTGCACCAACTTCAGTGTCCTTTTGCCTAGTGGGGTCAAAAGTTTTGTGCAGCGAAGAATCTTTCTGCATAATTGTTGTTATTTTAAACTCTAATTTTAATTGTAAAAATTATTTTTTAACGGTTTTTATATTTATTTGGTGTTTGAGGTTTTTCTGTATTTTACAATTTTTAATGAAAATGTTTTGAGTTTTTATGTATTTTCTTCTTGCCGTGAAATGAGAACTGAATTGATTGAATGAGAAATGTATATGTAATGAAATTCGGGGAAATAAGCTTAAAAAGAAATGCAGCAAAAAATGTGCATAATTTAATAGGACGTACAAGGAAGTCATGTGGTATCCAACATCAGATTTTTAATAAATAAATAAAAAAATCAGAAATTTTTCAGGTTTTAAATTACTTTCAAAGGAACGTTTTTTTAACATTTTGTGTGTTACTATGTAGAGACATTAGGTATTTTTTGAAAGCGGGCTAGATAAAAAATTGGCAAACTCCTTCACCGGGAATCGAACCACGGACATCTGGAATACGCGTCCAGCGTGCAGAACCATTACCCCACGAAGGCAAGCTAGGAAGGCGGGAGAAATACCTTATAAACTCCCCCTTTTAAAGGGCGACTGGGGTTTTTAGGGGACCCAGTTGCCAAATCCTGGGTGTGGAAAATCCTTATCCAACATCCTTTTAGTTCGGGCGCCACTGTAGAGAGATTAAGTACTTTTTGGAAGCATGGAAGATGAAATATTAGCAAACGCTTTCGCCAGGAATCGAACCACAGACCTCTGGAATACCGCAGTAGCGTTCAAAACCACTACACCACGAAGGCACGCTAAGAAAGGAGAAATACCTCATATCTAAATATCAAGTTCTTCCCACTTAAACCATAAAATTCAGTTTAACAGCAATATCGCAAAATACTTTTTAAATAAGCTCAAGATTCCGATACAGAGTCTCGCGCGCTGGAGATAAAAAAAAAAAAAAACAACATTTCCCCTCCGTACTGTGCTGCCATTGCTCGCTTTGGAATCGTTGAGTTTGTTAATCAAAAATTCGTTGAAGTGTTACAAAATATGAAATCGATACTAAAACAAATTTCAAATTGAAATTAAGACTTCCACGTGCCCATATTCTATGGAAGATTACGTTATTAAAATTTTGATGGCTGTAGATACCGTTGTTTGATTCCAATGCGAGAAACATACATACATTCATGCAGATTCTTACTTATTTAATTTATTTAAATATAATACAGGGCGATAACATTTGGTGGCAACAATTAGAAAAGTGAAACAACGCTTATCGTGAATCGACGCAAAATGCCAAAACGAAATCAGCAAATTGTTTCTTTAGATTAAAAATCTTATCTAGAAGTTTTTAGATTTATATATTATTATTTCTGTATTTAAATCGCCTTTTAAAGTATATATATATATTTATTCCAGTAGTTTTTGGATTTTTTTTCATACTTTCATTTTTGGCTTTAGGGTATGCCCTTCCGTCATTTGCAAGGTCAGAATCACAGTGCCGTTACCCAAATATGAGAATTCATCTTACCGCCCATCTAAAGGCGAAGTTCTACAGCATATGGAACCATTCCTATACACGGAATGGTCGAAATGGTCTCCATGTTCAGAATCCTGCATAACTAAGAGAACCAGGTAGGACTGTTATTTTACTTTGTTTTTATGTCTTTATGTTCAGAGATTGGTTAAGGTCTGCTTAGGCATTGCAAACCTTGCACATACACACACGCAAAAAAAAAAAAAAAAAAAAAAAAAAAAAAAAAAAGGGGGGGGGCAGTTTTATATCTTGCGCTCTACTGAGCTGATTGTCGAAATTTAACTTGCGTTTTCCCTGTCTCGAAAGCGCGACTTATGATATACCAGTTTTCCCCCTACGTTTTCCCTACATTTTCCACTTCCTTACTTGGATTTTCCTTATTAGAGGGATTTGGCTACGTGCCAAATTCGTTTTTCTCGAATATCTACGGAACGGCGCCGAGTTGAAATTCGAGACGCATATCCTCGGATTCCAAAAAATTCTCCGAATCCATCGATACCGTTCTAATCTTAGTACGACTTTAATCGGTTGAGATATTAATTAAAAATTACGGAAACGTTAATTTCCGCGCTCATTTTTCCAAGTGGCAACAATAAACTATCGGCGACACACAATTTAGCCGCTTATATGTATAAAGATATCAGATTTATATATAGCAGTTGTTCTAATGCAGGTATTTTGACATAAAATTGGACAATTTCTGAAATAAAATACCGACTTTTTTACCATATTTTGATTCTACGATTCAAATTATGCCTGGATATTAAATTTTGTAATTTTTGGCGAGAAATTTAAGCATGCATCTTGGCGCATTTGTTTCCGTTTGCGCCAAGAATAATTCCCTAGGCAAACTTCTTAATTTATAGCAACCTGTTTTCCTTTCCTTTTATCCGTTGTACACGAGCGGAAAAAAAAGTCCCCCCCCCATCCCCAAGCTTCTCATGAGATGTCAGGATTCATTAAGAAAGGCTGGACAGTTTCTTTGCGAATAAGTTACATTTAAAATGTGTCTTAGATTAGGCTCCTCTTGAAATCTTAAGTTTCATTATATTTTTATTCTGCTACAATATTAGCTGTTATTTTTCACATCTTATATTAATCAATATGAATGTTTTAGGCATTATTGGAACTAAAATTAAAAAAAAAAACCTTAGCCCTTTATAAAGATTATCAGTATCGAATTCAGAATAAAAGTGATAAAAATGTAGTTTATTGGATTTGCATAAATGAAAGAATTAAAAGCTGTAAAAGGGCAATTAAGACAAAGAAATCGTCGTTTTAGAAGAAAAAGTCGTTTTAGAACGAATATTTATTCTGAAAAATTTTATTATAACCGATCTTTATGCAGAATTTGGAAGAATATTGTTTTTTACTTTAGGAAACAATCTTTTTATGCATTGCCAAAATCATTGCAGAGTCTGAATATCTCTCTCGCACTCATTTTAAATACAATATTATCTTCATTCATGCAAAGATCTGAGATCATAAATATGTTTCGATTATTTCTTTTAAAAATTCTTCTTTTTAAATTAATTATTATTATTTTTTTTTTGCTTTCCTACCTTTCGGGAGAGGCCAAGGTCTACTCGCCCCCCCCACTATGTAACCCCTTTGTGAAGGGGGGTAATGAAGTTTGGTGATTTCGCGGAAACAGGAATGATTTTCACAAGCGCGGAAACAGGAATCGCGGAAAAAGAAAGACATCATAATGAATATACCAAATTTCAAAACGCCCCAATATGTAAATTCACGTACATATTAGGAAATTTTGAAAAAAATAATTTTTGCAAGTATGTTTAGAAATACATCTACTTTAATGTAATGATGGTAAAGATTTTAGAGATTATAATTCAAAATTTTTTTCGAAAAATTTATAAAAATTATTTAAAAATACAAATATTTAAAAATAAATCAGAAAAAGTGGGCGAATTTTATTTGGAAGGAACCTAAACTCCGAATATTATGAAAGGAAGAATAAAATAAGTTTAATAAAAAAAAAGAGAGATTAATAAATATATACCAAACTCAATTAACATTGAGGAGCTAAAATTTTGAGAGCTAATTAAAAAAAAAAAAAAAAAAAAAAAAACTCGTGCGATTTTTACAAAACTTGGCAGTTTGCCATAATTTGAGTCGTAGAATCGAAATATGAAAAACAAAATTGGCAAGTCATTTCAGAAAAAGTCCGATATTGTGTAAAAATACCTATATTTGAACAATGCCATATATAAATCTAATATATATCCTAAGTCGCACTTTCGAGACATGAAAAACGTAATTTGAATTTTGTTAATCAGCCCAGTAAAACGGGAAATATAGATTTTTTTTTTTTTTTTCCCAGTGAACCTTGAGGTTCCACTGTAGGTAAATTAGAGTTTAAATTTTACTGAAAGAATTTTCAAGTATAGCTAAACTAATAAAATCTAATAAAAACTAACAATATATGGTTCACCTTCTGATAGCGAACATGTATGTAGAGTTTAATCTCACTCACTTCTGGCCATTTGAACGATCCAGAAATTAATTCAGTGTCGTATATTTTTCAGAAAGTGTCGCTATAAATTAATTTGTGGAGGTGTTCAAGAGCAGTCCGAAAAATGCTACAGCGAGGAAGGTGACTGCGAAGAAATCGAACATCCTCGGGAACCAGTTGGTAAGAAAAGGTTTTTAAAAATACTCTTGCTTACATAGCTGCTTATTTCTTATATTTATTTGTGATTGCGGTATAAGGTATTTCTCCCGCCTTCTTAGCATGCCTACGTAGTGTGGTGGTCTGCACGCTCGGCGCGTATTTCAGAGGTCCATGGTTCGATTCCCGGCGAAGGCGTTACTAATTGTTCAATCTCTTCTGCTTCGAAATATCCTAATGTCTCTACAGTGGCGCCCGAACTAAAAGGGTGGTGGATGATGATTCTCCACACCCAGGATTTGGCGATTGGGTTCCCTAGAAGAGAGAGTATATAATGTATTTCTTTCGCCTTCTTAGCATGCCTTCGTAGTGTGGTGGTCTGCACGCTCGGCGCGTATTCCAGAGGTCCGTGGTTCGATTCCCGGGGAAGTCGTTGCTCGTTCTTCATCTCTCTCGCATCGAAATAACCTAATGTTTCTACGGCAGCTTTGAGCAAAACAATACCAATAAAAGTCGGGAAATGCAATCAAATCCTTGTTATAAAATCACACCCGTTGTAATGGAATTCAAATATTCTGACTGAAAACATCACTTGATTGCATAAATTGAAGAAATTATATAGTGTCAAATTTAATTGTAAACTTCAAGAAAATTGTTGTGGATTTCAATGAGCAAGTTCCACAAATAAGAAATAAAAAATGTAATGGAAAAAAATGGAAGCTTTCAGATTTTATATTTTACGACCCAGAGGGGCTTTTATTTCATTTACAGACATATACACGTTTCCAGAGCGTATGAAATCTTTGCGCAAAAAATATTTAAAAAGAGCATATCTTTAGAATTTTCGATAGACAGTCTTGCGGGCTGGAGATAAAAACGGTTGTTTTTTGTGCAGACTTGGCATTGCTCGCATTGAAATCATTGAGTTTCTTAAACAGAAATTCGTTAAAATTTTACAAAATATGAAATAGACAATAAAAAAATTTGAAATTCAAAACTCGAGCTTCCAGGAGTCCATGTTGCAGTGGAAGACTACGTTATTCAAAATTCGATGACTCTAGGTAACGCTGTTTTTTCACAGAACGAGAAACATACCTACATTTTGCAGATTCTTCCTTATTTAATTTCTTTAAATTTAATACAGGGCGATAATATTTGGTGGCAACAATTGAAATGTGATACAGGAGTTTTAGTGATTCGACGCAAGATGCCGTTTGGAGACTAATAGCCGTTCTGGGCTAGCGCCCTTTTCAGGTAAAAAACAAAACAAAATAAACAAAAAACTCTATACTCTCTCTTTTTTTCTTTTTTCCTTCCCTTTTTCCTCCCCCCTTTTTTTTTTAGTCCAAAGGGATTTCAGTCCCGAAGGACTATTGTTTTCTTTTTGCGATTTTGCGTCGGACTCATAAACGTCGGTTCACTTTTCAAACTGTTGCCACAAAATGTTAAGAGTCCTGCATTATATTTGAAGAAATTAAATAATGAAAAATCTGCATAAATGATTGTCTATTTCTCGCATTGTGATAAAACAATGGTACATAGAGCCATCGAATTTTGAATGACGAAATCCTACTGCGAATATGGGCATCTGAAATCCCAAATTTGGAATTTGTTTTATTATTATTTTAATATTTTGTAAAACTTTAACGAATTTTTGATTTACAAACTCAATGCTTTAAAAGCGAGAAATGGCAACGTTATATATATAAAAAAAAAAAAAATACTTTTATCTCCAGCTCGCGAGACTGTGTATATCGGAAATTCTAAAGATATGCTTAATTTAACATTATTTTTGCGATATTGCTCTTGAACTGAATTTTATGGTTTAAGTGCAAAGAACACGATATTTAATAAATAAAGGTAACACTCAAAACGTTAAAAAAACGCCCCTTTGAACGTAATTTAAAATCTGAAACATTTCAGATTTTTTTTTTTTTTTTTTTTTTTAGATGAAAGGGCGTTAGCCCAGAAGGGCTATTAATTTCGTTTTGGCATTTTGCGTCGGAAACTTTAAATGTCGGTTCACTTTTCAAATTGTTGCCACCAGATCTCCCTGTGTTATATTTAAAGAAATTAAATAATGAAGAATCTGGATAAATGTATCCATGTTTCTCGTATTGTAATAAAACGAAGGTACATGGAGCCATCGAATTTTACCAAACAAGAGAATCTACAACCTACAACAATTTAAGAAGAATTTTGCTTGAACTAATTGTTTACGCAGATATATATGACAATTTTTCTTAGGATGTAACAGCTGGTTTATAATTTGAAAATATTTTATTGTACAAGCTAAAATTATAGCACTGAAGAGTTAGTTAAAATATGCTATGTGGACAACCCCACTTATACGGCCTATTAAATTATAGACATTTCTTGGCTGCACTTCGTTCAAACTTATTTCCTCAAATTTCATTAGAGATATATTTCTCATTGAATTAATTCATTTCTCACTTCGCAGCAAGGCAAAAGACACATAACAACTCAAAACATCTTCATTAAAAATTGTAAAAATAGAGAAAATGCTAAAACATCAAAGAGAGTTAAAAACAGTTTATACAGACATTTGGTTATTTCGAAGCAAGAGGTGGGAAACTCCTTGCCGGAACTCCAACCACGAACCTCTCGAATTCACGTCGAGCGTGCTGACCACTACACCACGAAGGCATGCAAAGAAGGCGGAGAAATACTTTATATACTCCCTCTTTTAAAGGGCGACTGCGGTTTTAGGGGACCTTATCGCCAAATCCTGGTGGTGAAGAATCAGCATTCACCACCTTTTAGTTCGATGAGGAAGCTCTGGGAATTTTTGAGCGAAAGATCTTACGTTGCATTCTTGGTGGGGTCCAAGTGAAAGGATAGTGGAGAAGAAGATCTAATTTAGAACTCTATAAAATTTACAAACAACCTGATATTGTAAAATTCGTCAAATTACGGAGACTTAAATGGGCTGGCCATCTAGCTAGAATGAATGAAGATCATTGTTGTAAGCAAATCCTTCTGGCAAAGCCCAAGGAAAATAGACCTCGGGGCAGACCCTCGGGGGACTGATTGTGGCGAATTGTAGAGACATTTGGCTATTTCGAAGCAACCGCCGTGAAAAATTAGCAATGCCCTTGTCGGGAATCGAACCATGGACCTTTTGAACACGCGTCGAGTGTGCTGACCACTACTCCACGAAAGCATGCTAAGAAGGTCGGAGAAATACCTTATATATTAAAAAAAATTCCTTACAATTGAAATTAAAGTTTGTATGCCAAAGCAAGCAATTCGGCCAACGGGCAAGAAGACCAAATTTTCGGTGCAAAAAATTGAAAGTTAACTTTTGGCCCCGCTGCGTAGAAAGCCATTCAATTATTCCTTCAGTTACGTTTATTGACTTCAGTAATTGTTTCTTCACTAAGCCATATTGTGTTTTTATATAAGGTTTACGAAAAATGTAGCTGCAGACTTTTATTCCCTCAAAATACTCATCTAACACTCATTAGTTCATTCAAATACGAAAATTTTTAGGTAAAGGAAAGGAATTTTATGAAAAAAAATTGCAATATTACGAGAAGGAAGATTCTATAGATATATAAAAGCAATATTTTTACCGAACTAACTATTTGACTTTTTATATGGTCCTTGCAGAGGAACAAGTCCTACTTGTTGCCACACAACGATTTGATAAATACAGAAAAATTTAGAGCGCAAAATTCGTGGATACATTCGTATGATTCTTCAGTACCAACTGTCAATAGAAACTAAATTTATTTTACAATTTACTTTTTCTTTTGTAAAACTCTAACGAATTTTTTTTATTAACAACGATCTGAAAGCGAGAAGTGGCAACATTATTCAAAATGAACCATTTTTATCTTCAGCGCGAGAGACTTTTGCCATTCAGAAAAATGTAAAATATTTATATTTCAATTTTAGTTAATCAACTCAACTCCGTGAAAGCAATGTGCTGCCACGGCCGGAAATAAAATACTTTCAACTAAAACGCGCTAGCGTGTTGTCATTCAGTAAAGCTTAAGATACTTTCAAATTTAATCCTGAAGGTTACTGAGCAATAAACTAACCAATTTAAAAACAATAAACGCAGCTCTTAAAAAAGTATTTTTTTGTTTATTAAAAATAAACTATATATTTTAGCAATTTGTTACGATAATAATATTTTGGCAACATAAGATATTATTCACATAAATTGTATCGACGATATATGGCCACGCAAAGGGGTAGAAAATTTTACTTTTTCTTATTAAAACATAATGAATATTTTTCCAATCGGAATTTTTACTTCACGAGAAACATAGCACTATATTCGCGCTATTATATGCATTTTTTCTGCATTTCCTTTAAACGTATTTCCTAGAATTTCATTTGAGATATATTTATCATTCAATTAATTCAGTCCTCACTTCGCGGCAAGGCAAAAATCCGTACAAACTCAAAATATTTTCATTAAAAATTGAAAGATATGGAAAAAGATGAATCTCCAAATACAATTAAAACTATTGAAAAACAATTTTTGCAATTAAAATTACAGTTTCTACGCAAAAACAAGCAACTCGGCAGCGGGTAAGAAGTCAGATTTTTGGGTGCACAAAACTAAAAGTTTCCTTTCGATCCCACTCGGCAAAAAGCCACAGAAGGTGCAGAAAGACATTGTTCACTATTCTGCTAAGTTTCAAATGCAAACAAAAAAAAAAAAAAAAAAAAAAGCTTAGCCGCATTTAAACAACTTTTAAATTGTTGATAATTCTACAACTATAGGATGCAGATTAACTACAGGCATAAAACCTTAATCGGAAGATAATAACAACATAATTCAATCATTTTTAAAGAAAAAATGCAGACTTTATCAACATATAAGAATAAACACTGAACTAACGGCGCCTAGTAATAGAGTGGGTATATATGTGTATATATTTATGTATATTTGGTTCTGCCGATTGTAACCAAAAAGTGAGATGCATAACTGCATGTTATAGGAGACCCACATACAAAATTTTAACGGTCTGAGGCTATTCGTTTTT